GCAATCTATGAATGTACTGAAAGATTAAATGAGGTATTAAACACCTTTCACTTTAAAAAGGGGCGGAGACCCGGAGGAAACTCTGAGTTTCCCGAACAAAACCTGCTCCCCAGCAGGTTAGGTTCACAGAGTAAGTTGCCATAGTAACTGACTCTGAGTTTAGATTACCTCTCTTTGTGAAACGGGTTTAACTTACCCCGCTTTCACGGGTTTAAGTTACCTCCGTTTCTGAAACAGAAAACTCAGAGTTTCCCTCATTTCGGGGTTAACAAACTCTGAGTTTCGACAAAACCGCCTTCTTGAAATAGGCCCCTGGTCTCTGAATGGAGTTGGTGGGAAATAAACAGCTGCAGCCTTTAATAGGAATATATATGATATGTATTAATTCCAGTGTAACTGTCAGCAAGTTACAGAGTTTGACATTTTCCAAAATGTCAATCTTTTGCTTTAAAAGTTTCAGTTTTAGCCACCTTCTAACAAAGAAGAGTGGGGGAAAGATGTGGTTGAGAAAGTGTTAGGAAAGAGACTCGTTGCAACAACAAACGTGAACTCCTGGCAGAGACCAAAAGACAGAAAAAAACATTGGGGCTGCAACTAATAAGTCTTGTATAGTCAAAGTCAGAGAGAGAGAAACGGGAAGTCATCTGTCAGTGACTGACAAGACAAAACTTTTATTTGGCAAATTCTCAGCCTAATTCTCGGGGGTATCAAGTGGAGTAAGCGAAGCAGTGACAAAAAGAGCGGCGTACACAACCTGAACACAGCTGCTGTGTACATGAATCATTTTTAACACCCGAAATGTTAGCGTTTATAAAGACTACACCAGAGAGTTGTTATTATGGAGCCTGTGTCTCTGTCTTTAGAGATAAAGTGCATTAATTCACACATTTTATTGTGATGATTATTTATCACTTTTACAATTATTGTTTGTTAAACTGTAGATTAACCGATTATGAAAATAGCCATTAGCTACAGCCCTATAAATAACATTATATTGGGTAACTCAGGCCATTAGTGCAGAAATATGACCACAGGAAGCTGACGACACTCAGTGGGTTTAATGCTAATATTAATCATATTACTAATCAAACAATCATTAATTGTTAAACTGTCTGTGTGAGTCAAACTACAGGCTACAACTACAGCAGTTACAGAACACAACATTATAGGTCCCGTTTTAAAAGCTCTGCATTTACACTTATCACGTCTGGACTTAACCAGTAACCTACTCTCCAAACCGTTTAAATTACATTTTCAGATTTGTGAAAACACACAAAACAAATGCGATTTGACTGCTTTTTTTCCCCCAATCTAGACCACATCAGACCAGGTCCAGATCGAAAACCACCATACCCCCACTTATCAAGTCTGGACTAGAAGATCCCACAGAATCTAGCCTCTGTTCGGTACCGTTTCAGATTGTGAAACCTTCGTTCTAATGGTGAAGACACTTTTTGTCAAGCTAACACTAGGCAGCGCAGGTATCCGTATTGACACATCACCGTACGCATGTTTTTTTTTTTTTTTTTCCACCTATGTCACCCTCGGATTCACGAACAGCTCCGGTTTCAGGCTTAACACCACTACTGTTTTACAATAGCCCCGCTCTCCCGGGACAGCTCAGGCTTCGCAACACGCGTCCACTCACGAGTGACAGCAACACAAACACCCTCACCCCAACAAAACACTCCGCTGCTTTGGTTTCCAAAATACCAAACACCTCCATTAAGCTGCCACGGCTTTGAGGCAGGTTAGCCAGACGACTAACCCGGGGTAGCAGTAGCTTCCTGCCAGTCTGTCTTACCTGTAGAGTTGTGATGTGTTTGTCGTTGAATTTGTTTTCGCAGTATCGCAGTACCAGCGACGTCTTCCCCACGCACCCTTCCCCTAGTAACACCACCTTGAAGGAGTAGGTCTTGCCGCCCATCCCTCCGGCCGCCATGGCTGGCAGTTTATTAGAGAAATCCTCTGCGTTATCAAAACAAACGGTATCAAGCTAGCGCTGCTAATGCTAACCCCTGTCGGAATTGAAGTCCTGCGTAGCTCACATCGGCTTCCGACTTCTAAAAAAAAGAGCTAAAAATCAGGAGGAAAACACATCGACAGCATACGAGAATCTAACTTTTATGAATATCGACTAACAGATGTGAGACAAATGTGACTAAACAATGAGGTAATTTCCTTTTCACCCTGGTGCGAATGCCTGGTTTTCTCCGAACTAATGGCGTCTCCTTGAGCTAACACTTAGCCGGCTAACTCCAACGAAGATCGTCTATGTTCAAATTGACGGTTTACTCTGTTATTCGAAGAGCAAATGTCTCGCTCACTTTTAAGATATTGCTTGTGCTCCTTTACAGTAGCGAATCAAGTATTTGGATACTTTACTTGAGGAAAATAAGAGTATATTGCTGTAAAAAATACGTTATTACAAGCAGAGTTGCTGCATTGAAAGTCCTATTCAAGATTCATTCATCTGCTATACCGCTCAGCCCCCCTATTCAAGATTCAAAGACTTTAATCTGATGTCATACTCACAGAGCAGGTTACAATCTGCAACGAAATTCTTACTCTGTCTGCAGTTACTTCAAAAACAATAACCAGATTAACTGATCCTTATCAAAGTGTTTATGTTATGCATTAATCTATCAGTAGGTTATATTGTGACGACCGCTAGCTCGGTTGAGAGGAGCTGTCCGACCCTGTCCTATACTGGGACAACTAACTAGCCAGCTATGCGCTAGCACCTACGCTGACAGTGAGGAGAACACCTTCTTTGTCTTTTCTTGGGTTTTATTGAGCAGAATAGAGAGTGCAAAATAACTGTGATTTACCTGGCACCGTGTGCTCACAGGAGAAATGAAATAGCAAACTGAAAACAGTAACAACATTCCCCCAGGGAATCCCGTGTCCCTCGCCAACTGGCGCCCACGCCCACCTGTTACCCTTCTTATACCTTCCCGCACCTGTTCCTCCCCCCATCCCACATTGGCCAGAACAGCGCGGCATTTCACAGAAAACGGCGGTAACCAATACATGTAACAGTGCACACAACAGTGTCAACCCATTTTGCACACAACAGAACACACAAACATTTGCGGCCGGTCAGGGTCGCCACAATATTTTAAGGATTTTTAGAAAAGTAAAATATTGACATCAGCCTTAAGTGTGATTTTGATTGGAAAATCTTTGCTTGTAATAGAATATTTTTACATTAATGAATTAGGATTTTTAATTAATACTTAGGGATTTGAGTACTTCGTCCGCCACCTCAGACCCGTTGACCAGCCAGGAGTTCGTACTGAGAATTGGCAGCAGAGTGGGAGTTCTGCGCTGCCTCCCTCTCTCTGCTCCCTCATCTCTGCAGCATCACATGATGCCAGAGCCCTGAGGGCTGCTGGGGCTTCTGATGTTGGCACATCAAACAGCAGAGACTTTACAACAAATCAAGATAACAAACCATGTGATGCGTCATTTTAACATGTGCAAAACTGACTGTCGGCCAGTGTGAGTGAATTACTCCATAAGGCATTTTGTTTACTGGAATGTTGTTTGATGTTTGATGCATCCTTTCCCCCCCTATATGTAGCCCACTACTTTCTCACCTTGTTCTCATCATTTAAAAGATGAAGGATGCAGAAATGTTACATATAAAGACTTGACTGCCTCATGTTTGAACAAAACTAGGGTGCATTTCTTGAATTTCCTTCCTCAGAAGAAACTTGCTTTGCTGGGTAGTGAAATATTTGAAACAGATAAGGTTGCAGAGGTCAGAGGTCAGGACCCTGTTGGATCATATGACGTCAAAAGTAGCAGCCCTTCTGTGATGTTAGAAATACTGAGATTGTTGGATGATTATGATACCAGGGCACCACCTTACATAGGAGAAAATCCCCAGATCCTCTATGGTGGTTTACAGTCTCTGTGGTTGGTTTTTGTCTTTGTTGTTGTTTTGTCATTTTGCATGAATTAGTTTGTGTGCCTTAAATTCCACACATAAAATGAGCCTGTCTGTAGCTGCAGTACAGCCGATCGACCACTAAAGGTCAGAGTCTGACTGAAAACGCAACAGCTGAGAAACAACCTTGAAAAACCGAACCAAAAAAGGAGCTGTCCCACTAAAATTAATGTCAAACTAGGACTAATACTGTAACATAATATAATGTCATACGGTTAATCCTGCATTTCTCCCCTGTCAAATACTGTAAGCTTGACCAAAGTCCCACATAAAGAGTTCCTCTATTGCGTTTTGTTTTCTCAGCACCTTCCTGGTGGTGATTTTAGTTTGACGTTCACTGTGTCTTCATTATGTGTCAGTTTATCAGTCAGTCAGAGCTAGAGGGCACGGCAGCTTCTGCCACCACAGCGAGGCATGTTAGAGGAAGTGGTCTGGTGTGTTAGCTTTACTGTGATTATTGTACAATGAAAATAAAAATATGTATCGTTTTGCTATTTCAGATGACGAGTTAGATTCTGTGATCCCAAAGACAGACTGGCATGAGACACACACATTAGTGACATCTGTAAAAATAAAGACATCACCAGTTAACAGCTGCATTTATTGCTTTTTGGACTCCACTGGGTGTATGTAATGTCATCTAAGCATTTATCTGTAAGGCCCTTATATAATTACAAATCTTGTTAAAAATATAAAGCTTTCCATTAACGTAGAGTCATTAGTGATACAGTGTGCAGGAGGCATTGTTTTACATCCAGATCAATAAAGGATTTACATATATAAACTGGAAAACAAGTAAATAGACTGCTCTGTGGATTTAATCTGTGCTGCAAATTAATTAGTGTGAACAATTTAAACGTACTATGACAACAGAATACTAAAACTGTCCCTTCAAATAACCTGAGGTCATGAGCTGCTGTAGGCCTGTCAGTAGATCTGGTGTTTTCACATGAACAGGTTTCCACCTGTGATAAACATGTTCAGCATGTTTCAGATGTGATGAACCATGTGCAACAGCCTCATGTATTGATTCAGCTATTAATTTGTGCTATTTATGCATTACCTCGTTCAGTCTTTCACTTTTCCCACTGCTGCAGCTATGTGCACAGACACATTAACAGAGGCAGACAGTGACAGGGGTATATAAAGTAAACGGGGCATACACACACTGTTGTAGTATGAGTGGAGGGACGCGCACACTGTGCAGCTCCACGCGTCCAGCCTGGAAAACCACCAAACTGCAGACTTAAGCTCAAACAACCTGGACTTTTTATATTCTTCCCGCACCACTTTCAGTCCAGATCAGGTGACTGGAAACAGCCGCAAACAACGTGATCCAGAGCCACGGCTCAAGTTTGTGTTGTTATTTCTGAGTGGGGTTTTTCTGGACCTGAAACTTTTAGCCCCTTGGGAGAAACTGCGGCGGACATGCCGGGGTTTGTGGCGTTGTTGGCCGCGATTGCAGTCCTCTCGGCCGTGTTAAGGAGTTCCGTGGCCGGGGTGGAGGGCTCCGTTGCTGCGGTGAAGAGCTCCGCTGTGCCCGCGGTGGAGAGGACAGCGGCTGGGGGGAGCATCTCCGCGTTGGCCGGTGTGGGAAGCTCGGGGGACGTGGGCAGGGGAGCGCAGAGGGCCGGCTGCCCTGGCCGCTGTCGGTGCGAGGTGGACGGACTGTTGCACCGCGTGGATTGCTCGGACCTGGGACTCCGGGAGATACCAGCCAACCTGAGCGTCTTCACGTCGTACCTGTAAGCCAACACCGAGGCAGTTCGTTTGCAACCTATTGCTTTTAATCTGCACATATGAACAGCAAGTCAAATGATGAGTTTGTGCACATGCATGCGTGGGTGTTATGCACGCGTGAGAAACCCAGCACCTGTCCCGCGTTGCCGCGAAGCACACGTACTGTATGTCAGGTGCTGTTGTTCATATGGTGGTTAAGGCGGTTCAGAAAGATTAGTTTACACTTACTGATAAAAGTGTGAAAAAACACACAGAGAACTGTGGGCAGTAAGACAAAGGTTTCTTGAGGAGATCTAAAGTTTTCAGGTGTCCTTGAAGAGAATTTGGGGGTACATGAAGATGTTCCACACATTGTTTATGACGTTTCAGATGTTTATGAGGGGGTACAGCTGGTACGTAAAGAACCTCCACACCTTTTAGAACACTTTGGGGGACTGAATACATTTGTTCCAGGACTTGGTGTTTGAGGATCTCTTTAGAAGGTTTCAGAGGTCCTTTAACTCGAGCACACAATGAGGGTCTTCTGGTTATTGTGGAGGGTTATGGTTAGCTTAAGAGAAGCTTTGGGCTTTAAGATTCCTTAAATACATTTTGATTTTCTTAAAGTTTTCCAAATCCTTGACCTGGTTCTATTGGATCTTGAAGAGATTCCAGGAAGTTTTGAGAAGGTTGCATGGGGTTTTGAAGATGTTACAGATGGTGGGTTTTAGGAACTACAAAGATGTTAAAGGTCTTCTTGAGTGACTTCTACTGTAGGAGGTTCAGGGAATTAAAGTTCCAGTGGTTGATGAAGAATTTTGAAGGTCTCTCCAGATAGTTACAGAGATATGTAAACATGCTAATGAAGCGCTTAAGTGTACTTCTTTCGTAAGCTTCAAGGATGTTCAAAGGTTTTCAAGTCTCAAGGGGGTGGGCTCCAAGAGTTTCACAGTAGTTTCAAGTGTTCTTCTTGAGAAAATTGAGGTACATGGGCTCTGAAGTGGGTTATGGTGCCCTTAATGAGATTTCTAGTGTTCATTTTACCGGGAGCTCTCGAGGGGAGTTTGGGCATAATTGGAGAGGTTTTATTAGCTTCAGAGAAGTTCTAGGATTTCAGGGTTTTCAAGTACATTTAGAGGTTCAAATGTTTCTTTAGGAAGTTCTAGGGCTCAAAAGGTTTCACAGAGCACTAACAGATTTCAGTGGATTTTAAAAGATTTTAGGTGTCCTCCTTGAAGGGTTTTATTAAGTCAAGTTAACTTCATTTGATTGGCATAAAATAAAGTATGTTTATTCAGTGACCCTCTGCCCGCTAAACTCTTCACCTCTTTGTTCACATCTTAATCAAATCAAGTAGAGGTGTCCACTCTGTGACAGTCTTCATTGTGAGGTCTATCCATAAGTAAATAAGTTTAAGTCATTTATGAACTGAAGAAAATAGTCCACAACACTGGGATTTGTACTGAAACACATGCCAGAAACTTGGTACAGCCCTTTAGCAACTGTATCAGTGAAGTTTCAGAGTTTCTACTTGTGTAGGCAGCTGATTGTAAACTCCTGCTAAAGCGAACACTAAAATTAATTCAAATCCATTTCACCTCTCAGCAGGTGACCGGCCTCGACATAAGGCATCTTTCAGCTCTGGCAAAACCATTACGTCATGGTGCTGTGTTTTTGTGTGTAGATGGAAAACCTGCCCATCTTGGCTGTGGTCTAAGAGCAGCACAATGTCCAGGATTTAAATTTCACTCTCATTAAAGAAAACCCTTTTCTTTTCAGACTAACGCTGTGTATGTGTGTGTGTGTGTGTGTGTGTGTGTGTGTGTGTGTGTGTGTGTGTGTGTGTGTGTGTGTGTGTGTGTTCCTCAATGAAAGCACTTTCCTTACAGTTTGTCTTAGAGGCAGATGGACTCACACACACAGTGACAGTCAATCAAAGGCTCTTTGTGTCTTTATTAAAGCTCCAATCAGGTATCAAATCTAACAAAACATCAAGGAGTTTCAGTGTGTGTATATGTGTGCGTTTTGGAGAGTTGCCGGTCCATGTTGGTCACCTGTATCCAACCAATCCCCTGTAAGCTGGTCACATTGTTATGACTTGTTCAGGGGTTCCTTCATAAAAGAGCCTGTGACCAGGCGGTATTAGCCTGGTGTGTTCAGGTCACTGGTAAAACCTTCACATGACATGGAAGGATGTTAATAAATTTGTCTTACCTACCAGCACCTCTAGTTCACTGATTAACTCGCTGTGTTTTGTTTCTTTAATCCCTACACAAACAGAAACAGAAAAGCAACAGTTTGTGGTTTTAGGCGATGTTATGTGCTGGAACTATTTCTTGACAAAGTACATCTGCCCAGATCCACTGACCACAGGTTTTAGTATAAAACCTGTAAACTGCAAAATAGTTGTCTTTACATTTTTGTCTGTTTGCAGTTTAAAATCATAGTGGTAAATATTGAAATATGTATCCAGCTCTACAGGTTAATGTCATGAACATTTGTGCTTTCTGGTCCATTGTGAGAACCTTTAACTACTTTCTGAGTCCTTCTGTTGGTCTGTCTGTGCGACACCGTCACTCTGAGTATTGCCATCTGTCAGTGTGTGTGTGTGTGTGTGTGTGTGTGTGTGTGTGTGTGTGTATGTACACTAGCTGCATGCCTAAGCAGCGCTGTCTAAAGTCTGAATAGGCCTGTAAGTCTCTATTCTACCTCTGACTGACAGCAGGAGCACAGGAATGCATTTAGCCTGAGTGTGATGAATGAACCAATGCACATATGAAGGATTTTTTCAGCCACGCCCCTTTTGGCGGCCATACTGCAGATCCTGAGCTCTGGCAACAGCTGAACTGACCATTTCATGCCTCATTCAGCCCCTGTAATTTTCAGTTTTTTTATTTTTATTTCTCACTATACTATTGTGTCTGTTAGTTAAGTGCACACTTTCTGAACACCACAGCAATCAGTCTGGCTTTAAACTAGGCTGTAGCTCTGCTGTCTTTGCTTGTTTTCTACCAGATGCCTTTGAAGTGTTTGATTAGATTTTTCATTTGAAACTGATTTATAAGTTGACTGACAGGGTGTCATATTGGTACAGTCACTGAAATTATCAGCGTTCATCATGATATGTTCCTCAGCTTTATTAGCAATGATGCACCTTTACTGTTTATTTATAGACAATCTAAGTTGCAGATTGAGTCGGTTTTGGGTAAATGTGCCAATTTGGTGGGATCACGCTCATTATCAATCATAGAGATATACACTACATACCTGTACATCTGTAAGTTAATAAAAAAAAATTACTATCCCATACAGCTGCATAGAGTAGTGGATACTTCAGCTACATCCAAATGTCCACTTTGGTTTGAGGACAGACAGGACAGAAACTGATTCATCTGCAGTGTGTTATGTCCTGAAAGCTGCTAGCTAGTTTTAGCTCCCGAACCGAGAGCTGAGATCAGGGTGCAGAGTCATTTTTCAGTCTGTCGCTCTCGTCAAGGGGATCTCTAGGTCTACTACGAGTTAGCTACAGTCAGCTAAGGTTTTCCATTCTGAATTGCCACAGTCAGTAAAGTAAGATCTAAACTTATTTAAGCAACTTTTTAACCAAACAAAACAAGAATTTATGCAAGTAAATATAGCATGTACCTCCCAAAATGGTGCCCCTGTCCCAGCATTCAGCACAGTGTGACGTACCTTCACATTCCCTATATGAGATAAAACATCCAGCACCATTTGTTGGTTCTGCTGCCCTCCAATAATTCAGTAAGGCTGTCATCAGCCTTAAATCGTGTAGTCTGAACTGGGCATTAGAGGTTCTTTAAATGAGATATTATAACAGCAGACACACTCAGAGTTTCTTCAGAAATGTTTAGCTAATATTATTATTATTATTATTATTATTAATAAATAAGAGACACATCTTTGACTTAGCCAGACAGATAAACAGACAGATGAGCCTCCTGTCTACCTGACCGCTCTCACGACCTCAGAGTACAACAGGTAGTCCATTTACCTGTGCAGGACGTTAGGATGTTTGGGCTGCTGGCGTCTGAGTGTGAGAGACTCTTAAGCTTCGTCAAGGTTCAGTTGAGCACATCTGTCAGCAAGTGCCGCTTTTGGATGCCTTTTGGATGGCATGGTCCACCACACACATACAAACGTAGTTCAGACATCACAGACAGGTAAATGGACTACCCGTCTCTTCTTGTGAGGTTATGAGAAAGGTCAGACCAATAGCACAGAGCGATACTGCAGAGATGTAGCATGTATCTGTCAGGTGTGAATCTTTACCAGAGCATTTAGTCAGTGACATGAGGGAAGAGAGTGAAACATGAGCACCTTGAAATGAATGATAGTCTGACCAAGAGTCTAGAAACAGAGGAAAGTAGAAAGTCACACATGCAACAGCTCGTCAAACTGTGTACATTAATAAACGGTCTACAGTTGTAAATATTAATCAGTTTATAAATGGATGGTCCAGATGTTTTGCAGCTGTTCTCCAGTGGTCAAACAGTAGAGAACACTTCTTAATGAATTAGTGAGTGTTGTGCTAAAGAAGGATTTTCCACAACCTGGCAAGCCAAACAGTTTTGGTAGGCATCGGTACCTTTGCATCGGTAATCTTAGATGAAAACACACAAAAGAAAGATGCCAGAAACTGCATCAGTCATTTCCTCCACTAAACTAAACCTCCTGTTCCCCTGCATCACTTTTTTTTTAAATAATGAATGATGATGATGATTATTTGGCAAACTGCTTCAGCGCGTCCACACAAATGTTGTCCTCTGCGAAGCTAAACTTTTTCTGCTTTCAGTCCTCGGGCCTCAGGACCTGAGAGGACCTGTGATAGCCTGGTGATAGCTTAATCACCAGATTTCACCTTGAACTTCAGTTGTGGTCTTGAGCTTAAAGCTTATTATGTTGATCTAAATCTGACATTACATACATAGTTAACAACATAATATAGCTGTGGTCCTCTGTGCAATCACTTGCTGCAGCTGTGGACATTCATCAGGTCCTAACACACTCTGTCAGGGAGACTTTGTTTGCAGTAAAACACATACAGATCTGTAGGGAGCTCTTGTTTATTTTGTAGTGTCTATTTCTTTGGAACCAGACAGCACAAGCTGACAGGAGGAACTGGGGAATACACCCCCCATGTTCACTCGCCCCACGGGGCCCAGCTGACCCATCCCCCGCAACACTGAAAGAAAGACAGAGCGAAAGAGGACAACAACAGAGAGAGGCCTCGCTGTCACACTACACAACTCTCTTTTCTTTCTTTCTTCAGAGATGTTCTTTCTGCGGCTGTGGACATTTGAATAATTGTCTGATATCCATCAGTTTGAGCCCGAGGAGACGGAAAAAAGACAACATACACACACACACACACACACACACAAAGCTTCATCTAACTCATTACCAAGGGGGAAAAAGACACACAACACAGATAATGTATTCGCCTTTTCTTCCATCCCTCTGTCCTCCTTGTTCTTCATACATGCATAAATCAGTCCAAGGTCCAGGACTTGCACAATAAAACGGTTCCTTGTTGTGGCCCTGTAACTCAAACTGTAATGGCTCAGGATCAGTCTGATAACTTTGATTTATGTAAGAAAAGTAGAGTTTCTTAAAATCGGGCTAAAAGCTTCGTCAAACGAAACATCTTATGACCACTAATGAAATAAACATGCCACCAAAAAACTGGATTTTTAATAATAATATTAAACTTTGTTTACTTGAGAGGTGCTTGTGAAAGTTTAGATTGCAGCAGTTACAGCTGGTTCAGTATTAAGGGCCGATGATAAGATTCTGAGAAGAATAGATTTAGAAAAAAGTGGTAATTTAATCAAAAAAAAGCAGTTTATAATGTACATTGTGGACTTAATCATTGAAACAATACAGGTTCAATTTTGTACATATCAAAGTCTTAAAACTTTCCTGAAAAGAGTTTATACATTCTTCTTGACTTTTTGTACAATTACACCTTTTTTATTATGACTCACTGATGTTATTCACAAAGTAATAATTTTCCTGTACTTGCAGAGCATTTTTCTGTGCTCTCAAACTGTGTTAAAAATCTCACTTTAATAAAATAAAAACTCAAAAAGTCCATAGAAGCATATCCAACTACTTCTGCAGTACAATACAGTTCTTCGGTGTCTTTCTCATCAACCCAGTCAAACATTACCAGTCAAGTTTGAAAACACTTTTCCATTGACTTGAATGAGAAAATGTGTGTGACTGTTCAAACAATATGAGATCATATGTTTTAGGCTGCAAGGTAACCAGTGCTGGATATTTATTTATTGTTAAAGTACAGCCATCATCATCATCATCCTTGTCACATGTAAATGACCCCTGTCTCTGCACTGAATTCAATCAAATCATTCAGCACACAGGCTGCCAGCAGCCATTGAGGCGTCTGAGCTCTGAATGTAAATGTGTGGCAGAGTAAAAAAAAAGTGTGATATGAATACTTAAGGTTTTAATATAATTAAATATAATATTTAAATCGCTTAAAAATCTGAATGTTTGTGTAACGTCTAGTAGTCATTAGGGCCAGGTCTTGTTTCAGCTGTTTTGATACCAGTGCCTACAAACACACAGACCAGAGTAGTTGTCAGATTATCTTACTGGTATTATCCTTAACATTTACACTTGGGTGTCATTGCCTCTTTAGACTGCTTTATTAAAGGGGCCTCAGGTTTACCAGTACATTTGCAGAGATGTCGCTGGTCCAGCACAGTTAATTACAAAGCTAACATAAGCTGTGCTAGGCTGGCTATGATTGAAATGACTGGTTTTATTTGACTAGCAGTCCAAAGCCCAAAGATGTTTGAATTTACAGTGATATAGAACAAAGGCAGGAAACTCTTTAGAAGCTAGAACAAGGAAATGTTTGGCTTTTTGTTGATAAATTACTTGATGAACAATTAACTGTCAAGTCATTTACTGTCCATCATCTACTTGATTATTTTTTTCATCAGCTAATGTAACGTTAGAAACACAAAGCTACTGGAGGTCTGGTATCAGCTAACATGGCAAAGTTGTGCTAACTTCCCTGACATTCAAAATCAGCTAACAGTTTCTCAAAGCTGTGTTAAGCTATCTGTGAATCAACTTGGCTAACATAACATTAGAAAGCAAAGGGACTGGCAATGTAGCATCAGCTAACAGGACACAAAGCTATGCTAAGATCTGTGTGATTTAACACTGGCTACCAGGACTCAAAGCTAACGTTACGTTTCAGGGCTAAATTATGGAGCTCCAACATCAGCTAACAGGGCAGGGATGAAAGCAAGCTTATTTAATTATCTTACAGTATTTTTTCAGTTTGTTATCTTTGTAGAAGCACTCATAAAACTAAAAAAACAAGTGTTTACTGTTTTTTAAGCAGAATGTTTGCCTCTGCTGAAGGATTTTCAGTTTCCCTCTTTAAATCATGTTTAAAATTAATGAACAAACTACCATGGTTAATTATAGAAGTACAAATATTTGTATTAACTGCTTATGTTCAGATAAGATGCAACCACATATAGAGAACATTACAGAGCCCTCAGTGTGGGTAATGAGCAACTCCCTGTCTACTCGTAATGTTTCAGTGTTAGTTAATGAACGAAGTGTCAAGCACAGTAACACAAACCTGACTGCGTGTGTGTAAAGCAGTAAAAGCCAATCACCCATTACACTGTTAGTCTGGTCCCGGTAAAGGAACCTCCTACTAAAACAAGCCGCCTCTGTGCGACCGGACTACCTGTCGACAATGTTGTAAAGCGCACACACATTAACAGGCTTTATGGAGTGTCGACCAAGTTCCTTAACAACCAGTATATTCAACCTGCAGACACACCCTCAGTGTGTTCAAGACAAAGACAGTCTGTCTCTGTTTCCTTTCAGACCTGAGCCCTCCGGAATGGAAAGACGCTACCTGCAGATAGTTATCAGACAGAGTAGAAAATAGTCGGGGTCAGATAAGGAAAGACAAGGCAGGAGGAAGAATGTCACTTCTGCACAGAAACACAACATATAACAAATGATGTCCCTGTCCCTTAGAGCCAGTGAGAAATACTGATGTCACCTTGTTTGATGTGTACCTGAAATTACCTTTGGAGCCAAGTGTGTTGTTATGAAGCTGACGGTCTAAATTCATGGCCTCTAGACGCCAAAATGCTCAATATGATCCATAATACGTGATGCTGTTCAAAATCTGTGGCTAGTTTTCTCAGCCCAGCTGAACTGATCTTGGAACAGTGTTTTAGTCCTCTCCACCACCACTGTCAGAACATGGCCATTATCTTTCACATCTTGTACAGTTATTTTTCTCGTAGAGAATCCAACACATAGCTCTGTGAGTCAAATGGATGCTAGTGTCTACATACCTTAGGCCATGTGGTTTATCTTTTGGAAGAATGGTGTTTCTCCATCCAGCAGATGCTGAAGAGAAGCACTTAAATTTGTCAGCCACCTACTGATACACAGTGTGATCCCCTCCTGTTAGAGGTCATTGAAAGTCCTGGTACATCAACTTAGTTTATTTGTGCCTTCATCGCTTTCTTTTCTTGCTTTTTCTCTCTTTCCAGTAACTTCCACTCCTGTCGTGTTTCTCACTCAGGAGTGTGTTGACTCGTTTCACCTTTCACCGGGTCTGTGAAGGAGGCGTGAGGTCCTGTGTGTGCGTGCATGCTTTACCTGAGTAGATGCTTTGCCAAACTAAATGTTTTTATATGTGAACTGTGTGAGTTGAATGGTGCCTGTGTCTGAACGCCCCACGCTCTGTGGCACCTTTATAAACTAACTTTGTGTCTTTATTAATTCATGAGTCATTAGTGCACTGCCGGCTGTTTTTGACATTTCTATCATCAAAGAGCTGCTGTACAATCATATTATGAACATTATTTTTATCTCCAATGTTGATTTATTTAAGTATACGTAATCACTTTATATTTATTCGTTTGTGTTATTACTTATGCAATTGCAAGTCTCGATGTCTCAGGAGCCCTTTGCCTGTTCAACGTGGGATTTCTCTGTTGCTCTGCTCCGTATAAACAGCAGTTTGCAGTCTGCTTTAAACACTGTTAATGTTGAAGGACATCTAATATCATCTGACAAAGAATTCCGGCAGCTGGGAGCAGAAACACCAAAGGTTGCTTCACCAGCTGTCCTTTTAATTCTGGGAATGATTAAAAGGCTTGAACCAGAAGATAGGTTCACACTGAGTGAGTGGGTCACCATTCTGATCTGAGATCAGGTGCATTGGCAAGTCTGTTTCTGGCAGCGGCATTTTGAATTAGCTGTATACTCTCCCCACAGTCTGGAGGAGGGCACTGCAGTAGTCAGAGTCAGACGGTTTTTCTGCACCTATTTTAGACAAGAGGCCTCATAATCTTGATAAATTCCTTAAAGTGCCCATGGCTGCTCATTTTGCCTATTTAATGTTTAATCTTAGGTAACTAGATTAGCTCGGCACCCCTCATAACTCCAAATAGTTTGTAATTGTTTGCGAACAATCAAACCATAGAGCCTCTTCCTAAAAACGGGAGGATGTGCACAACTCCTGCTGCCGGTGTTGTGTTGCAAGTGGACAGCACAACGAACCGCAGTGGCATTAATTAATTTGAATTTCTCCTCCATAGATAGGTAACCAACGGTATAAGAATCAAATCACCACAGGCCCTTTAAATGACGAGTTATTGGAAACATGGTTCTGAAATGTCAGGTGTGAGATTTTTAACCTGTGTAGTTGACTCAGTGGCAACACACAAAGGTCTCTGTCCGACACTAACAACCACTTCTCTCTGTCTTTGTAGTGATCTCAGCATGAATAATCTGAGTGTGTTGTCCAGTGGAGGTTTGTCCAGTCTGCACTTCCTGGAGGAGCTGTGAGTAACACACACACACACACACACACACAGGTTCATCGCTCTCTGATTTAATTTTATTCTTTTTTAACCTTTGTATATGATTTAACTATTAATTGTGTTGTTTCTTACTGTTTTTGTGATTTCTGTGAAGTGGCTGCTGCAACACTGCGCCTGTCTGTCTGTCTGTCAATAGCCGTGTACACACATGAAGTCCGGACTGTGTTTGCGGAATCAGGCCCGGACTTTTTCGAGAATTGCCCTTTCACACATGTAGCACACAGCAAGAGACATTCTGTGTCAGACGCATTTTCACCTACTGGAAATACTCTGCTTACTTTGTGCGTGGGGGACAGACCTGGGTAGAGCACACAGGAGGTGAGACATGACATGGTCATGTAGCCGGTTTGTCATTTGGTCATAAACAACCAAGTCTCTTGCCTTGTTTTACAATTCTGGCACCAGCTCTTAGCGATAGAAGTTCCCGAATCTCATCATGTCTCCAGTGTGATCGTTTTGTTGGCGTCTATGATGTAAATTATTGTTATGCTTGAACATTGGATGTTTGTTTTCTTCCAGTTTCACTGGAATATCATCCACATGCCCACTAGCTCCGTGTAACCGCTTCGGACTACACGCTTCTGTATAATCTCATATGGGCTCACTCGGACCTTATGTGGACTTTGTACTAGGGAACTGGCAGAGTAAAGTCTGCTTAAAGTCTGGGTGGACTAACTCGGCCATTTGCGTTCTCACCACTGACTGTATATAAAAGGTGGACAAACCCAGCATGACGTCACCCATTGGTTTTCTGTCTGGCTGTCGTCATATTGGTAGTGCTTCACTCCATCTTCCCGGTCCAATCCAAAAATGGAAAGAGGCAGAGCGTGAGTGGAGCTGGCTAGCCAGCCAGCAGCCCACCGGCCTAGAGTGGGACCCTCCCACCTGTCACTCAAAGTGCCACGCCCTTAATTAATGCATAACTTTTAGCCTCAATATAATTTAAATGGGCAAGTTACAAAAGGAAATCACCCCACAGTTGTCATGGAAGGGGAAATTAGCTATAGAGACCACAACCAGGCTGTAAACATGTTTATCTCTGCTGTAAAGTTGGGCATTTTCACATGGGGACTATGGGGACTGACTCCCTTTTGGAGCCTGCCTCGAGCCTGCTCGAGGAACTGCAGGTTTTGGCACTTCTGCAGTGGCTTTATCTCTCAGCCTCAGAGACTGGTGCTTGGTTCTCACCTACAGCTCCCTCGGGTAATGTCAAGAGAGTTTCAGGGTTCCAGTGCATGTCTGGGGGGGCTCAGGAGGGCGAGCCTGGGCAGCTGACCTCTCAGGGACCTGAACCTGACTGACTGTTCTGCGCTCTGTGTTTAATGTGTGTCTCTGTGTGTGGTATTTGTCACCGTGGTGTGAGAAACATCACTGTGGTGATAGGACACCGCAGAGGTGCATGCTGGGTACATGCAGGCTGGCTGAACTCTGTGTGGCCTCGACAAACACACTCACCTGTAGAACCTCTAACAGGCTTACTGGGAAAAACAGTATCTCAGCTGGACTGCACACAGTGTCACATGTTTTATTTATCCCATATGTTTATGCATTCATTTATAATTTACAGCTATTATTTGTGTTGATGGTGCAAAACATCTACCTGTTGTTCTGTTCATTTATCTTATGTGTACAGTAATGACAGTAACACAATGATCCACCTGTTGCTCTGCTCTCGGATGTTGGAAATGGAAGCTGCATTACTGATGATGCTTTACCTTTCTGTTCATCATGAAAGTAACAGTAAATCTCTAGTCATGCATAGCAGTGGTGGATATAGAAAATATTTGGACAGGATGTCCACGCTGCAGCACAAACTCAAAGAGGGGTGGAACATTTGAAATGTATGTAAAAAGTAATTTAAACTCTGAGTTCTATGAAACACTAAACCATACCCATCAAATTGTTTATCTACTGAGGCAAATCAGGCCAAGTACTTCCCAACAACACAATCAGAGAAATGAATGCAAATATCATGCTGCATGCATGGTATAAAAGAAAACTCATTAACCAATATCAATTGTAAATGAATAGAAAATTGTTAGTTGTACTCAAGGCAACAAATTGTCACAGCTTTTCGTTTTTTATTAATTAATACTGACAAGCATCACATTTTGACTCTAGCGGGGGGGCACCAGGGGTGGTCAATCAGATGGTGGCAGTGGCCGGTGCCACCTCTGGCCACCCCTCGGCTCTGCCCATTAAACATAGTGGTGGTCATCTGTGTGTCTTTTTAAAGCAGGTGGTGCTAAAAGCTCAGAGTGGCTTCTTCCAGAAGTATTTCATAATTTAAAGTTGTAAAAGTATCCCTCTGTGAAGGTACTTAAAATTTTACTTACATAAAAGTACAAATATATTTTCTGCAAGCTGTCCTTAAAGTACCAAAAGTTTGGTGTTGTCGAATCTTCAAACTGCCCAGAGCTCTGTTGCAACATGGCAGCAAGACAGACGCGTCTCCCATCTGTGTGTTTACATCAGGAATGGTCCTGATGCAGCGACAGTTTTCAGACATGTTTGATTTACCTCGAGGTGAAGCAGCTCACACAAAAATGTGACAGCTGACAGCGCAGCAGGAAAAATGAAGGCAGCAGAAACACAGTTACTTGTTGTGTGTTGTTGTTGAATATCATGATCATCCAGGTGGGAACCTGTCCAAGTGGAAAAATCTTTTCACTACACTCTGGGATCAGTTATGTAGTTTGTCTGTGACACGGAAGTCCTGGAGGGTGTCCTGGACAGCCGGGACCTGTGTACAGATGCACATCAGTGTGTGTGACATCAGGCCCTTCATTGTCTGTTTCAAAATAAAAGCCAAAAAGCCCAAAAACCATCACTTTAAAAAAAGTCTTAGGTTTTGCATATAGCTTTAAAAAAACAGCTTCAAACACTGAGCTCGTTTTATTGTGGGTGCAGGGTTTTAAGGTCGTGCTGCAGTATTTCCACTGTTCAGGGAGGTGATTTTGTTTCAGTAGATACCAAGTTTTCTCTTGCACACATGAACAAATCTCCTCTTTCTGCTGAAAGGTGGTGGCCTTGGCTTTAATGCTCTGTGTGTGTCTATGTCTCAGACGTTTGGCAGGAAACGATCTGTCGTCTGTTCCCAGAGGAGCGTTCGCCGGCCTCTACAACCTCAAAGTACTGTAAGTTCGTACACTCAGTGATTGTTGTTGTTGCATGACTGCACAGCTACTTGTAATGTACTGTTCACAGGCAGCTACACTGTGTGGTTGTGACACTGATGAAGGTCATGCAGCCGAATTTGTTTTGTCTTCTGCACAACCCCAAATCAGAAAAAGTTGGAACAGTAGGCAAAATCAAGATTAAATCTGCCTGCAACACATTCCAAAAAAAGTTGGGATGGCTGCATTTTAGGGCCAGTAACGAGGTAAACAATGAAGTGATGTCAACAGCTGACTGCATCATGATTTGGTGGCATCCAGGAAAGGCCGAGCCCTTTAGGAGCAAAGATGGGCCAAGGACCACCAGTGAGACAACACATGAGTGAGAAAATGAAAATGTTTCTCAAAGAAAGATAGGAAGGATTTGGATCTGTCACCCTCTACAGTGCAGAACATCATTAAAAGATTCAAGGAATCTGGAGGGATTTCAGTGTGTAAAGGCCGAGGGCCGAGCCTCAGCTGGATGACCGAGCTCTCCGATCCCTCAGATGTCGCCACATCAAGAATCGTCTCTCTTCTGTCCTGTGTCAGGCACTACAATACGTAGTTACATCCATAAATGCTGCTTAAAACTATGCTGTGCCAAAAGGCAGCCCTATGTCAACAGTGTCCAGAAGTTGACTGCTCTGGGTTCAGAGCCATCTGGGATGGACCATCACACAGTGGAAACGTGGACTCTGGTCAGACCAATCAGTGTTTCAGGTCTGTTTTGGAAGGAATGGACGCCATGTGCTCTGGACAAAAGACAAAAAGGACCATCCAGACTGTTAGCAGCAACCAGTCCAAAAGCCAGGGTCTGTCATGGTCTGGGGTTGTGTCAGTGCCATGGGCAAAGGTCACTCACACTTCTGTGATGGGTCCATTAATGCTGAACAACATAGAGATATGTTGGAGCAACATGTGCTGCCTTCAAGACGACGTCTTTTCCAGGGACGCCCATGCATATGTCAACAAGACAATGCAAACTTCATAGTGCACATCACCAAGGCCTGGCTGTGGAGGAAAAGGGGGCGAGTACTGGACTGGCCTGTCTGTAGTCAACACCCGTCCCCAGTAGAGAATGTGTGTGTTTGAAACACAGATTGAGTCACCAATGACCCAGGACTGTTGTGCACCTTAAGACTTGTTTTCAGGAAGAATGGGACAAATGACATCTGACACACTGAATCTCTTTGTGTCCTCAGTCCCTAAACGTCTTGTAATTGTTGTGAAGAGGAACAGCAGCATTGCACCGTGGTAAACGCTTCACTGTCCCACTTTTTTTGGAATGTGTTGCAGCATCAGGACTGAAGTGAGTGTTTATTTTGGACAGAGAATAAACTTGATGAGGTGTCACATCAAATAATGTGCTGCTATGTTGTCATACAGGACACAGATGGTTTACACATCACTGTTTTGTGTTGTAATTTTGATCTTATATACCATCCCAACTTTTTCTGATTTGGGGTTGTATATAGTTTTTTGTTTTTGTTATTTTTGGGGTCATTTGGTGAGATCATCTTTTGTGACTGTTGGTCAAAGAAGCAACTAGGAAGTGAAGCAGGAGTCAACAGTGCCTTAGACTGCTGACATGACTTCACAGGTTTATAGTAGTGTAAATCGGGTTTTTATGTTGATATATTTTGTGGTGTGTTTATAGGATGCTTCAGAACAACCAGCTGACTTCTGTTCC